TATTGTGTACCCAGGGATCTTATTCACTTTTCTCGCTGCATTTGACCATGCAGGTAAGTCCCTTGTCGTGTCACTGCACTAATTGTACGAAGTTGACCTGGCGGTAAGACCACGCCGTGTCAGCTTCCACCGTATACCTGGTTCGTTCAATGGGCACTGTTTGGGGGGTTGCCATTACTTCCACCATAATTCAGAATACACTGCGCTCGGGCCTCGGGGAGGCCTTGAGTGGAATACCAGACAAATGGAAAGTAACACTCCTTTCCTTGAGCATACTGACCCATGGGGGCAAGGACTGATCAAGGTCATATTCCACTAGATTATCGAGGAGATTCGTCATTCGGTCTCCGCAATTCACAACCTTCCGCCGGACATCCAACTAGCTGCGCGGTTGGTTTACTATCAGGGTATCCGTCTGTGCTTCTTGGCGTCAGCTTGCTTTGGGCTTGTGGCCACCATTGCGGCACTATTCACGAAGGGTAAAGGCCTGCATCGCTCGCACGACGCCTAAGGACTGGCCGCCAGACCCCAAGTGGGGTCCACGATGTAACCGCGCTAGCCACCAAAGCGGCGATTGCTTTGTACAGGGGCCAGAAAGGTATATCGAATGATGAAGAAGTCTCCGAATAGGTGAGGCTAGACTGGATGAGCTGCGGAAATAAGGACGGTTCTAGGAGGGGGCAGACACTACATCCTACCCGCAAGTGACAGGTGCAAGTCTGTTGCACGGAAGCATATATAACGCCAGTCGAATGAACGAGTCTTATTTGTGAGTGAGACTGTTTCCTGCTTGTTGATTGGGACTTCCTCAATACGAGGACCCTCGTCGAGCAGCTTGATTCCGCCTCCCCCGCGTTGCGGAGAAATAAACTCTGAATCTCTGATTGCCGAGGGAAACCCCCCCCGTTAGCCTGACGGCTCGGAACCGCTGTTTAATTCCATCGTCAATTCACAAGACATATAGTATAGTAATGTGTCTGCCTGTGAACTGTGGGGAATGGGAATGAGCTAAGGGTCCCAGGTTCAGGCCTTCAGTAAAGGAGGTCTCTTCCACGGGCAGTCTGGCATCACTAGCTACATCTCCCCCGCATTATCAGCGACGATCATCTTGGGGCAGACAGTGGATAATTCCGCCCCAGTTCCGCTATAATGGGTCTCTCTAAGCTTAGTTTGGGGCCAACCCGGGGCCCGCTTTGATAAATTCGATAAATGGGCTCGGAATTCGATAAGCGTTCCGGGCTATCTGTAGGTAAACAAGTATCTGTCATTACCTATCAAGTAGACGTGCTCCTGATGAATCATCGAATTCCACCCCTCCCCACCCCAGGAATCTTATCAAACTACTAACCTCGCTTATCATATTGTGGCTTTCTTCCAAGGTAAGTAAGTATGGAGGCAAAAGTCATGTGTACTGTAGAAGGATGGAAGATGCCATATAATGGAATGGCTCCTCCCTTGGCACTCTTCATTCCACCCCTCCCCACATCGTTTCTTGACCAAGAACCACACTTGAGAAAGAATGGAGTCAGACAACCCTAAGCGATCCTCTTCCAAAGCGGATCATGAGGCCTCCTATGACCCCGAGGTCGATATGGCCAAGGGCCATGTTGCTATCACGGGCGTGCCGGATGCGCATATGAAGCGGAATTTCAGTATCCTCAGCATCATCGCCATGGGGTACAACAATACCAACAGCTGGGTGGCGATAGCTGCGAGTTTCTCGATTGCCATTCAGTCAGGCGGCTCCGTCTCGCTACTGTATGGCATCATCGTCGTCTTCCTTGCGATGCTCTGCACGGGCATCACCTTGGCCGAGCTGGCGAGCGTCTACCCGACGGCGGGAGGACAATATCATTTCACGTCAATTCTGGCCTCGAAGCGCTGGAGCAAGGCCCTGTCATACACCAGTGGCATCGCTGCCCTATTTGCGTGGATCACCCTCGGGGCGTCCATCGCCTTGTCCACGACCAACGTGCTCATGGCGATTGTCATCCGGTGGCAGCCCGAGTATGAGACCAAGAGCTGGCATTACTTCCTGGTGTATCAGCTGTTGAACGGCATCATGGTCGCCTACAACATCTTCCTGACCAACAAGACCCTGTGGATCTATAACCTGGGCTGTAAGTGCATACCTTCCTTGACGGGTGAAGTCAACTTGACGCTGACCATGACCAATCCCATTTGCTACAGTCCTCCTCTCCATCTCAACCTTCCTTGCCCTCACCATCACCTGTCCATCCCGTTCCGCAGCGCACGTCAGCTCGTCTCATACCTGGGGGCAATTCGTCAACGGATCCGGCGGCTGGCCCGACGGCATCTCCTTCCTGACCGGCCTCTCCACGCCGCAGTTCATGTATTCGGGCCTCGACGCCACCCTCCACCTGGCCGAAGAATGTCTCGACCCGGAGCGCATCGTCCCCAAGGCAGTGATTGTGACCGTCATCGTGGGCTTACTGACGGCGTTTCCGTTCGCCATTGCCATACTGTACAGCTACAACAACATCCAAGCCTCTCTCGACAGTCCCACGGGGTGAGCTTCTTCCAAGATATCCCACCCCACCTGCCCGCCCGCCCGCCTGTCTGTCAAGCAATCCACTAACAACATCCCATGGGACACACACAACAGCTTCCCCATCTTCTTCGTCTGGGAGAAAGCCACCCACTCCCCGGTAGCCGCCACGATCTTCATGGCCGCGCTCTTCGTCGTCTCCCTGGTCGCCCTGAACGCCGTCCACCAGACCGCCTCGCGGCTCACCTGGTCCTTCGCCCGCGACGACGCCCTCTTCTTCTCCCGCCGGCTAGCTAGCATCCACCCTTCCCTAGGCGTGCCCGTCTACTCTCTTCTCCTCGACGGCGTCGCCGTCCTCCTCGTAGGCATCGTCTACGTCTGCTCCACGACCGGTCCGCCTACCCCTCCTCCCCCCTTCCCTAAACCATCCACCACCAAACACAGCTGACGAGAGAAAAAAAAAAGCCTTCAACGCTTTCATAAGCACAACGGTAGTCGTCGCGCAGATCTCCTACGCCATCCCAGCGGCCCTCCTCCTCTCCCGCCGCCGAAGCCCCGACTACCTCCCGCCAGACCGGACCTTCAAGGTACCCCACGCGCTGGGCTACCTGTGCAACGTGGTCTGCATCCTCTGGGCGATAATCATCACCATCTTCTTCACCTTTCCCACCGAGTTTCCGGTCACGGGGGGGAATATGAGTACGTTGCCCCGGTCTCTCTCCCTCTCAACATCTTCCACCAGGGAAAAAGCAAAAAGAAAAAAAAAATAAACCCGTCCAGCAATTCCCTCCCCTATACCTCCCCCCACCCCAACCAAGATGCACCCTTCACCCAGACAATATACTGACTAGGACACCCATTCGGGAATTGAACAGATTACGCCTCCGTCGTGCTGGTCATCATGCTCATCCTCGGGGTGGGGAATTGGTACGCCTACGCGCGGCGGCATTATCATGGGCCGAGGTTGGAGATGTGACAACTTACCCCGTAGCACTACTTATCAATCACTTTACTTACCCGACTATATGGTTAGTAAGCTATTTAGCGAAGACTTCTGATGCCTAATGACAAAGTATATGAACCTTGACTTCGAATTCATGCGTGATTCGCTTCCCAATCGGCGTAAAAACTTGCCGTCTATGATTTCACATCTAAGCCTGTAGTTACTCAGTATTTCCACAATTTAGAAAGTAAAAGTAACTCTCTTGGCCGAGTTCATCCTCTGATATCCCGATTTGAGGGGGTTGATCTACTGAACATATGGGTATGTGCTGAACATATGGGTATTTGCAGAACATACACATCTGGTCAGTTGTACATAGCCAGATAGATACAGGATGTATTCAAGTCGCCACAAATTAGAACATCAAGGAGAGAGAGAACAGACGAGAGTTGATTCCTCAGGTTTGATTTTGATAGTGAGTAGGTAGTAGTGATAACCGCATACTCATGGTAGTTATCCAACCAAGATGGATAAATACAAAGGCAACTGCTTCGTTTTGAATCGTCTTAGAGTCCGGTGACGAGTTCGACTTCGCCTATCCGGTCCTTAGTTTGGCTGCGTTCAACATCCAAAAGTCCACGGTGATGGTTTGAATTACGCTATTGAGTATATTTCAAAGCACATGACATCATGGGAGTCGAAAATCAGTCGACAGATCACATGCTCTAGATGATCACCTCGAGACGAAGGCATATCGGTTATTACAATCAGAAGTGGCCACAGTAGCATCCACAACAAGTTCCCAAGTACTTCCCAAGTCGCGCAAATGGTTCTGTTTCGTCCGTACTTAGCCTTGGAGGTCGATCATAGTGAAGCGACGAAAAGGCCGATCCGCAACTGAGATATCTACTCGTCACAAACCAATGCCAACACATCCAAGATTGCCGACGTCACTTTCAACGGACACTGGACGAAGCAAAAGACCACCACAGTAACAACAGCGCAGGGAAACGAGCTCGATGCGCACGCTCGCAGATACCAAACTAACAGTAAAAGGTAATCATGAATTAAGTGATATGCGGCTATGCAGGAGGCCGGTTGTTCTGGAACCTTCTCTCACGGGCACAACCTCAAGAGCCTAGAGCTTGATTCCCAGCCAGAATAAATCACACAAATCACCGTACAACAAAAAAACCGCAGTTCCACAAATCAAGCAGTGCAACATATGAGATTAGAACATAAGAAAATAGGAAATTATCCAGGAGCGAGGCCCGTGCGGCGCGACCGCGACAAAAAATGCTGCCGCACCCACGCTGAACGGCCCCCTCATTCCCGGCGCCCTTTTCAGCTAAACAACTCGAGCGGTCTAGTGGTGTGTAAGCGGGAGTGGCGGTCGTAGTCGGGGGTGTAATAGAAGCAGCAACGCCATTATCGGGAGGAAGTTCGTTTCGTTTAACAAGGAGGTGGAGGGGGTCATGGATCGATCATGGCGTCTAGCACATTTCACAGCACTCGATGCAGTCAAAGCAGCACTCGCAGGTCTCTTCGCACAGACACAGACAGCACAGAGTAGCCAAGCTGAGCAGAAGACAAATGTTAGTGAGAGATTCTGGTAGGACTGGAGAGGGCAACGCAATGGATCGCTTACCAGGTTCCTAGACAGCCGCGGTCCTTCTGCTGGGGAGGGGGTTGCTGCTGGTACTGCATGGGTTGCTGGAAGGGTACGTTTAGTGACAATCAGTGGCATGATCTCGAGTCGCAACGTACAGGAGCATAGCCCTGGGGAGGAGGGCCAGGGGGGTATCCGCCCTGAGGAGGGTAACCCTGCTGGTAACCTTGCGGGGGATATTGGCCGTAACTGTGGGGAGGCGATGAGTTAACAGTTGTCGCGCACGATGAGGTGGTCGGGATCAGTCCCCAAGATAAACTGGTCGGGAGAGCGCAAAACAGAAAAATTGCATGACCAGTTGGACATGACCCTCATGGTGCTCGACAAGTCTGTCGGGTTGGATCCGCCATTGTTGTCTGGATAAGAGGAAAGGCCGGGGGCGCGACAGGAGGCACGGAGGCCAAGAGACCGGGCGCAATGGACGAGGGAAGGGGAAAGGACTTACGCCTGCTGCGGCGGAGGAGGACCGTTGTAGTATCCTTGTTGAGACATGGTGACAAGAACGGGATCTAGAGAACCAAGAGATGCGAAGCAATGATGGTCAGCGGAGAGAAAGCTTGGAAGAAGGAAGAAAGAACGGAGAGTTCGGGAAGACGGCTTCAGATGAGTGAGCGAAAGAGTGGTGAGTGAATTGAGTGGAAGCCGGCCGGGCGGGTTTGAGAGGGCCAGAGAGAGCCAGAAGGGGGGTTAAAGGGAAAAAGAGGAACCAAGTGGCTGAGAGAACCAATAACAGAAAGTGGAACATACCTAAGATTACGCCAAGAGTAAGATGGACGGAAGTAAGACAGAGAAAGCGAGAGAGAGAGAGAGAGAGAGAGAAGAAGAAGAAGAAGAGTGAAAGACTCGAGGTATGTCAGATCAAATAACTTAAGCAGAAGAGAAGAAAAGGGGGGCGAGAAGATCAGAACCAAAAAGGGATTGATTGAGTGTGCAGGATGAAAGGGGACGGAGAGAAGAGAAAGAGGAGGAAGATGAGGAGGAAGAAGAAGACTGGCGATGATTGATGGCTGAGCTCACTCACTCATGCAACGAGGCTGAGGCCGCCAGGCTTACTTTCTTTCTTAGTCAATACCACCGACGTATGGAGTTGTATGGTATGGTATCATTCCCCCTTCCCCCACCTGCTGGCTGCAGTGGTCTTGCCGTATTCGTATGGTTTCAACGCTCTCTCAATGCATCTGCGGCGGCAAGCACCAGGCGACCACGAGCCAATTTGAATCGTGAGCCCGCCCCCACACGTATTATTGATTAACTTATTGAACGTCTCCATTGAAGATGGCTGTTACGTAGGTAGTATCTTCAGGATTCCGCCATCAATTCGCAACTCACTCGGTATGAATAACGCAGTGGTTTCACCCTCGGCGCTTATTTATCTTGCTTGTAATTCCCAGTCAAATGGTACCTAGTAGTCATCTAATACCTACACATACTTCCAGTCCTTAATAAATTACTGAATGGTATCAGGTACAGACAGAATCATACCATTAGAGACTCGACTTTTGGTGGACCGCAACTCAGCCACACCGCAATACAACCTCCGCCCAGCACGCAGCCCTACGGGAACCAAAGAAAGCAACCAAAAGAAAACCCTTTTCCTTTGCAGACCGCAGCCCGCAGACCGCTTAGGCACCAGCCACGAGCGTTCATCGTCACTGGGTCCCAGAGACCCTCTTTTTTCTTCCCGATTCCAATGACAGTGCCCAGACACGGGCTCTCGTTGCCCCCCAGATCATGGATGGTTCCAGACGCTGTGTGATACTGATACTGCTAAGTTAAGGTAACTTGGCAGCCTGCTGGTCCAATGGACCATTCGTGAATTGTCTGCATCCTACGGTTTATCCCGCCTGCTTACCCGATTCGTGCAGCTGAATGTTCTCGATAGGGATTTATGCACATAACTACCTAGGTATGTACCTAACAGTGCGAGGGCAGCACGTGAGCGTAATCTGTATGCGCATTGGAACATCGGTTTGGTTCACGTGACTGACGTCTCCAAACCATTGTAATTGTATAGACTAACGCTCCTCTATATCCATGATTACAACCTTTACTTAGATTAGAAGAGCGTCACTAAAGCAGCTAATTTATCTATTACCTGTTTCCCTCCGAAGCTCCCTATCCTGATAACCCGTATCTAAATATCTGGCCAGATCTACCTCAGCCTTGGCTTTTGTCATTACTCTGTTCCCCAGGCTGCCTATAAATTAGATTGATCAAGTAAAAGATTCTCAGAGATAAGTTTCCCGTCTCGTCTTCCCATCCCATACACCATAGAAGAATACACTATAGAACAAAGACACCATGCCCATGCACCAGGCCAAGTCAAGCGGCACCTCCACCAAAGACCAGGACCCCTACCACCCAATCCTCCAAGCCTACCTCGCCGACAACAACCTTTCCTCCCCGGAAGCCGCCGCCACCATCGCCGCAACCACCCTATCCCCCCCAGCCTCCGGAGAATCCCTCGAAGACAACCTCGCCCACCTATGGCGCCAAATCCTGGACCTCGCCACCCAAACCCCCGCGCACCAGGCCAAACTCGTGGACCTGCTCACAGCTCTATCCCATCTCCCGGACGCCCCCGCACCCAGAGCAGCCGATCAAGCTGAAGACGCCCAAGGCCCGCTAACCGTTCACGACATGCGCGTCTGGCAAGACCTACCGATGCTGGGCTGGGAGATCCGCCACCGGTGGAACGACTCCGTCCCAGAGAACAAGGAGACAGAGGGGGAGCAAGCCGCAGCGATCACCAGGATCGTGAACGTGAATCGCTTCGTCTCGCGGCTGGTCGCCACCCGCGAGCCGGGCTTCCGGGCGCACGCGTGGTTCGCGCTCGTGACGCTGCGGCGGGCGCTGGAGACGCCGTGGGAGCAGATGGCGCCGGAGGATCCCCTCGCGGCGTGGGTGCCGGCGGCGGCGGCGTGGGTGGAGGTGCTCGGGGCGGAGATCTACGGGTGGGACGAGGAGTATGCGGCTGGGCCGGGGGCGGGGGCGAGAGGTCGCGGCGGGCCCCTGTGGAAGGGGAAGCATGGCTTCTGTCGGGAGCGGTGGGGGCTGTGGAGGGAAAGATTTGGCGAGGTGGCCGGGATGGAAGGGGAAGATAAGGGTGTTCGGAGCGTGGCGCGGGAGGCGGGGCGGAGGATGAAGGGGATTGAGGCCGCGGGAGGGCGAGATGGTGTCGATAGGTAGATGGATAAGGTAGTATCATGATTTGCGAACCTCATCCTCTATGTTCGGATGTAGTCCTCGAACTATATCTATTATCGCCTGTCTCTCGTTGGGCCCTCGATGGCAAGTTCCCAGCGACTTGCAGTCTAAATTACCAGGGAGGATGTGTGGAGATAGAGCGACGCATCAGTCTACTCTTGCATCCACTATACTGTACAATCAGAGCTATAAGAGTCGTTTGCATACCCGACTTGCCACTGGTAAAACCTCCATTCCATGGTGACCCGGGATGCATCGTAACACAGACCTATTATACCATCAAACCAAGTCGATGCCCAGCTGTAGACTCAGGTCAAAGACTGATATAACGAAAGACTTGGTTCGATTAGGCCTTATACCAAGCGACACCCGCATTTACCTCACAACGTTGAGCGGTGGTACGTCCGTTGCGCAGGTCGATCGACGCGCGTACGATATGCCTGCAACTCTTGTTGCTTCCGATCAAGGATAATATCATCATAGTTCTGATAGACTGATGGGAAAGCATCGCTGTTTAACCGGTGTCTCGATGGCATTAGACACTTGGACTTCAGCAAAGCGCTCCTAGGCTTACTGCGCAGAACCACCGGATGAGAGGGCAAGTACCCGGAAACGACGTTGAAGCGGTGGATGGTAGACTATCATCATCATTTTCGGCCGATGAATAGTCAGGCTATTGACATATTGACATGTTGATTTCATTACCGCTTTTCTGGGTGACTTCCTTTTCCTGGGGCTTTTCTGAACCGAGACTAGCAGCAGCAGAGAACGCTAATTTATTAGCGCCAGGTGTTCGCAAGGGCGATAGGGACAGGCGGGCTGGGAAGCAAGAAAGAGATACGAAAATACGGTTGTTGTACACGGCTTATTGAGAGTCATATGACTAGCATGTTTCAAACCGATTAACAGCGCTTAAGTATCTAGTTGTCTTTGAAATCGCTAACGGGCAGTTCGGGATTGACACGCGCTTTTGCGCAATCACCCCACGCTTCCGCGCCGCTCAGTGAGCGTCATAGTCAGGCCTAAAGTGCAGGTGAACGGAAAGGTTGCTTCAGTCATTAGTGCCACCTTCCGCAGAAATCCTGTTTGGTGTTGAGGAAAAATAGCAATGTCAGGGGGCTAGTGCCAGACAGCGTCCCATGCTCATCGTTTCTCTTCTCCGGCTGTGCCGCCGACACACCTCCCCACCACCTATCCAGCCACTGGGCGTCACCGCCATCACCAGCACTCGGAGTCTCGTGAACATCGGTCCAATGTGCATAATTAGTAGTAAGTCCAGATTAAGTACCAAGCACCAGGTATAGTGGGTCGGCCAGTCGCCTCCCTGCCTTACCCTAGACCGCTAAGACTAGGAGAGTAAAGCAGGGTGCTTCTGGATATTTCTTCGGGACATTGTATTCAGTAAATCAATATATTCAGGATTCTGTGTCGGGTTGACTGTCTGCTCATCACACATTATGTCGTGGCGCGCCCCCAGGGCGGCCTAGAGGGCGACGAGATCGACCCTTGGTGTCTGAAAGATAAAAGAAGAGGGTAGCAAAGAGAACCCAAAGAGAAAAGAAGAATAAGTGGCGGGAGAAGAGTAGAAAAAAAAATGGGGCTAGGAGAAAGAATCATAGACAAGAAGATCCCGCAAGATAGGAAAATCCAAAAGCCAAAGAATTAGTATCACATCAGGCTGAGATGCCAAGAGATCAAACAGAGAAGATGAGAGAAAATGCCCAAAAATGCAAGATTAATGCTGAGGTGATAAAGAGCGCCTAGCAGATCGCACGATCACACATACGAGTCAATCTCAGGGGGGAGTGTGGCAGATTCAAAATAGCAAGGCGTCGGATCCAAGGGAATCTCCATGCCCATCGCAGGGAACGTAACCATGGGGTCATACCCGTCAATGAGGGCGGTCTCTAAGACTTGAGAAGAAATCTCGTCAGCCGCTGCCAGAGGCAGACTAGAGAATTGTACATCTTCAGCGCCAACCACCAGCGGTGCAGCCGTCAGATCATCCCCTAGTGATTCCTGGTTATTGAAACTCGGAGCGTTGCCCACAACAAATTCGGTCTTCTGCACCATCCAGTGCTTCAAGACGTCCATGGGTGGGTGGTTACCACCCCCCTTGCCGCCGCGCTTCTCGCTATCTTTGCCACGGCCACCCCGACCGCGTTGGCAGGGGTTGAAGTGGGTTCGACGGAGATGAGCCGCGGCGTTATAATTAGCACCATATCTTTTGCCATTGCGGCAGGCCTTGCAATTGGCCAGGAAGGTCTTGTCAGGAGAAATGTCAACACAAACCCAAACCTTGCGAACCACGGCGTGCACCCGCTCGATATGCCGACGCAGCTCGTGCTCCCCGTGGAAGCCGTCCGGCTGATCATTGCACATGTTGCAATACGTTTTCGGGCGCGTGGGCCGCTGGATCGAAGCTTTGGGAATGGCGGCCACCTCTTTAGCCGTCCCATCGGAAGATGAAATCCTGATCATCTTATGCTGCTCACCCACCTTGGGTGGTGAGCTACTCTGAGGCTCCGCTTTGGGAGCAATAGGGCGAGCGCCCTGCACAATCTGTTCTTGGGTTCTGCGCGCTGCTCTGGAGGGCTGGGAAAGGGATGAGGGACTGTCATTCTCAGTAGATAATGAGGGCTTCATCTCCGTCGCTGGAGATGCGGAGAAAGTGGGAATGGGAGAGTAGAAGGGGGTAGAAGAAGGTGCAGAGCAAGAGAAGGAGACTGGGGCAGCGGAGTCAGGGTAGGAGAACGCGAGATCATGAGTGGGATTTTGGTGCAGAGGGTTGAAACTGGTGGGAAAGGGAACTTTCATCGGCGAACTGGAAGGCATGAACTCGGTTGAAGGCACAGAGAAAGAGAAAGTAGAATCAAGATTTGGTCCGGAGGAATCAAACCTCATCATGCCAAACCCCCCGCAAAGCGAGTCTGTGGTAGTACTTCTGCTCATCTCCACCGCGGCCGGATGGTCAACCATCGTGGGGTTTGCCAAGGTGGCGAACTCGGCCATCAGCTCAGGCTGGGCCTGAACTAACTGCGACCTTTGTTGGTCAAATCCAGAGAGCGCGGGATCCGCCGAAAGCGCCATGGAGAGAGCCGAAACGTTTCCTTGGCCTTGGAAGTCACCCAAGTATTGCTTGGCGTACTCCGAGGGGGTATATTCGTTCACATGGTCAAGCCGACGCTGCACGCGCTGAGGTCCATAAGAGTGTCGATGTCCCTTCACATTGGTGGCGGCCAGCGACGGGCGGTGTGAAACTGGCGTTTGCTGACTCTGTGAGCGGACCATGGCCGTTTGTCGCGAGGACCCAGGACCCGAGAAAGTAGCCGCGGTATCCTTCCGTGAATTGGTTCTTGACAAGCGCCGAGCTGTCTCAGGGGCCGCCGGGGAGGAAGCATGAGACAACTCGCGTGTCAAGTCGACGGTCACTGGAGGTTCCGGAGTCTGCCATTTGTCAATCCAGGGACTGTTGTCGGGAGATGGAAGAGAGAGACAGTGAGGTCATGGAGTAACGCGAGGAGAACAGAATGGGAAAGGACGAAGACATGAATAGAAGGCGGGAGTAGAAGACCAAGATGATTCACGTACGGTGACTCGTCGTTTCGGTGGGGGGAGACCAGAGCCAGGGAGAGTCCGGGGGGTATCCTGTCGCGTCCTTTTCCCAGACTTCTCCAAAGCAGCGCTGTCGTCTTCGGAAACACCAGAGCCGGGAACCGGGCGATAGCTGGAGGAGGCATCGAAGGGGGAAGCTGACGAAGAGGCCGTGGTGGTCATGAACTGACTTAACCGCTGACTCCAAAGTTGATTCCGCTCGGATTCCGGAAGGTGGGAGTGTCGAACCAAAAAAGCGTCCCGATACCCAGAGATAGCCCGTGTGAACAATTCGTCGTCGGCCATGGTGCCAGCCATAGTGGGTGGGGAGATCCTCTCTTTGCGTGTCGCCTCTTATCACGTGGGGCAAAGGAGGGCTGCTATCAGTATCAAGTGACTGGAAGGGATAGGAGGGGTTCTCTGCAGAAACAAGATGTTAACAAATTGATCCCACAGGAGTTGAACTGAACAGGAAGGTGATAAATCAGACGAGACTGACTGAATTTTTGAGACAGGTAAGGAAAGACTTTCGCTGATGAGGGCGTGGGGAGGAGAGCGCTGGCGGGGACGAATTCGCGGATGCGGCCCCAGAGAGTAGATAGTATAAAGAAAATGAAGAGAGGATATGAGGAGAAAGCACTCCCGGAAAGTAGGAGTAGATTGCAGGAGAGTAGCAATGTGAGTGGAAAAAGGTTAGGAATATGAGGAGTGGGAAGAAGAAAGATGGAGTATATGAAGAGTAGGTAGTAGGAGGAAGTGGGAGAAAGTATATGGGGATCCCAGATTTATGCGACGAGGAGAATAACGATAACGATAAAGAACGAGGAGATCAGGGAGGGAGGGGAGGTTATCAATTTAATAGAGCATCTACCATCCCCACAGCTTGGGCTTGGTTGACTGGGTCGGGAGAGAGGGTCTAGGGTGAAACTAAGGTTGAGAATTGGGATTGGGAGAAGAGATGATGGAGGAGGGAGAAGAGGATTGCAAAGAAAGAAAACGAGAGAGAGAGAAATGAAAAAAGAGAGAAGTATCGGGAGAGAGAGAGAGAGCTAGAGAGGGAGCGCGCGCGCGCGCAAAAGATCCGTCAGAAGGGGAAGCAGTAAGTTGCAGGTTTAGTTTGGGAGTGCCTCCTCCATCAAGAGGGTTGAAACTGGGCGGGGATCAAAGATGGAGGGCCGGATTGGAGGGCGCAATGGGGGTTCCAGACCCTCTTGGGGGGGGAAGAGGGTGGGCAAAAATCCCTTATCCTTCTGTTTTTGTTTTTCTTCTTTTTATTTTTTTGGGAGCAATAATTTATCCAAATTTTCTTAAATTTCATTTCTATACTACGACTATTCTGGAAAGTCGACTATTTCATTTACATAGTACATACTCGGTTCACTTCAGGAGCTTATTCTTTTGTGGTTGTCTTCCCCATACATTCTTTTACCCGCCCATAGCAAGACAAGCAAAGATTCGTAGGGAGAGACCATCAACAAGCGAAACGAGACAATATTAAGAATAGTAGAGGAGAAGAAGAAAAAGAAAAAGAAAAGAGAAAAAATCATCCTCGACAGTATCAAGGACGAGAGGAACAAATAGATAGACCGGGAAAAAAAAGAAAAGTAATGCTATGGAAACTCTTCCCTTCCCCATAGCATCATGGTGATCAGAACACTAGTGCTATTTAGGCAATCCATTGTTCTAATTGAAGTGGTTGGAAAACTGCCCATGTTCTTGCCATGGATGTTCCTCCCTAGAAGAACTATCCAAAAGAGACTGGATTGGAAAAAGAGTGAGAAAAGAGGATGGTGACACGCTGACTGTTCAACAGAGCCCGAATTGGCCTGGTTACAAGACTGGGTCAGGATACATTGGTGATGAGAGAGAAGACGGATTGGATGGATGGATGGATGGACGAACACGGTGTGCGCCCGAAAGTGAGGCGGCGAACCGGATGGCAGCAGCCTCCACCCGGACCAGCAGGACGACAGATGCGCTGGAGAGACCTGGATCAGTCATCCGAATGGTTGATTAGTTAACTTAGTGCTAGTTTGGTTATGATGGATGGATGCTGTGCACGGGAGTAGATACTGACTTAGTAGGTAGGTACCTAGGTACTAACTAAGATACAGTGTATAGTACCGTGGACCTCATACACCTGTAGACGGTAGTGCTAAGGTATTCCGTATTCCGTACGGGGTACTGTGTGTTCCGTCGAACAATAGGTATGGAGCCAAGTACCTCGGGGCGCAGTACCAAATACACCCATCACCCGGTCTCCATTGCGGGTGGGACGCCCCTACGTCGCCCGCTCTTTTTGCCCACGGAGGCGCCTACGGCGGTACATCGACATCCTTAGGCGTTGACGTACCCAGTACTCAGTCATCTCCGTACCTCACCTGCTCAGGAATCAGGATGCCAGGATAGACCAGCTGCGCCAGTTCGGAACGACTGGACGGCTGCCACGTCGATGCGGGCTACACCCGTTCGGGCAATTTCCTACCCCTTCACCTCATTGGTTTCTTTAGATACTCCCTCACTTAGTGATTGTTCGCTTTCACTGCCACGAAGTAAGCATCCATGGGCTCTATCAAGGGACTGTGCCTCGCTGCCCGGAGACGCACCTCAATTAGTCAGTCTTGTTCCTACCTGCTAGTTTTAGCGTCCGTTGGGAGAGGTGCGCTCACAGTAGAGATGAAAAGGTTCCCTTGATGTTATCATCTTTGGGACGAATATCTTTTACAAAAGTCGAGCACATACCTCTTCCTGAAGCAAGCTGTGCCTTATCCTCCAGGAGCGCTGTACATTCTAGATGAGCCTGCCTATCAGATCAACCTAAGTGGCAGCTCGAGTCGAGCATCATCCGCATCACCTTCAAGAATTCCATCAACGCAAGCCCGTGGTGCTTGTGAAGTTGCAACAAAGTACGGAGTACGTTGCTGGCTAGCCACCAGGGGCAGCAATCCAGGTACTCGAGGTTCTCTCCCGGAGCGAACCCGCGGTACCACGCGGAAATCACCCAAGGTTCCCTCGGTGTTATCTGCACATGGCCGCCCTTCCTAAGAATGATACGATCAGTCATCTGTGACTATCAAATCCACGGGATTCTAGACAGCCCGTTATGGTTATCGGGGAGACCACAGCGGGCCAGCGACGAAAGTCTCTCATGAACTGCCTTCCTGGAATTTTTTTTTTCTTCTCCCGGATCATCCCTGGGCGCCGTAACCGGCCGATCTCCAGACTATGGATCGATGACGGATGAATCAGTCTTGAGAGTGGGGCACCAGAGGAGCCAGGAGTTATGCCACCAATCCCCAATCTAGACAATTACCTATACGATCACATGAGTCCACGTGACTGGTCTCCAGAGGCAGGTTCTCCGCTATTGTACGAACTATCGATTGTCGTCGTGGAGGGCGGTGGACACTGCACTGCGTAGTTACTTGGTGCTGAGAATGAGACATCTCTGGATTTCTCCCTCCTTTGTGTGTGTTGGCGTTTCACTTTCGCAGTAGTAGCATCAGAAGCTCCCCTTCTTCCAGCTGGTACCAATTCTACACTACCACGTAGAACGGGCAAGCTCGAGACAGGTTGAGCTCAAGCGAAGAAAAAAACTGAGTTTGTGAAGTTTGCTCAAACTAATTGATTCTCAAACAGCACCCCGCCCAAAGTTTTTTTCTTTCCTCACCGAGAACTTGATGTCCCCTATTCCTACTAATCTATAATTATCGGCTACTTGGGCGGTCAAGCCGCAATCCCATCGTCCAAACCGTTGTTTCAGCGCCCGCCGCCAACCCATGAAACCCGCCACGAATGCCACCGCTGGTTGTTTGTTTGACTGTTGCGTCCCTGGGAATGGAAATTAAACATGATCCAAGGAGGGGCAAAATGACAACTACTTTGTTGCTAACTTGAACTAGTAGTACATTATGGAGCGGAACGGATCCAGATCAACGGCACTTCTTACGAACCGTGTGGTTTGACTTAAAACGGGCAACAAGAGAAAGGCCTAGTAGGCAAAAACCACTCATGATTCATCCCACTTCCACCTCCCCACCCCTCTCTCTCTCTCTTGCACTTACACCGGCTATTGATCATCGTACCTGAGGACATCCTTTCGTGCAAGTAGCAAGCCAATCAGCGTGTGAGCGCATGGGGCTCTAAAGAGCTTTCAGATTGACAACTAAACCTCCTCTAATTGACACCGGTTGACAAAGTCCAGTCCCCCTTTTCCCACCTATTCGGCGATGACCAAAGTGGAAGAACAAGGAGGGGTGAGGGGTGAGGAATGAGGGGTGACCAACAAAGTTGGAGACTCGTATGCGACAGCTAATACGTTTACTCCACATTTTGCTTCTTGAATTGGCATGAACATGAATGAACAGTGTGATAGTGGGGGGGGGACGAGGGAGGGGTGTGTTGATGGGACAGCATTGTTCCAATTTCATCTGATTGCCCATCAAAGCCTCTCAATCGTAGCACATACTCAGTACTAAGGTATCTAGGCCAGAGACAGAAAAGGAGTATTCATTTACATAGGAGCAAACTATTCTCAGGAGCAACAGAGGCCAAACCCATGAAATTTGTTTCCGGCTGGGCACAGTCTTCTGCCCGATAAACCTAGATAGATTGGAAGAACTACTACGATTTGGTGTTGTTTTTTCTTCATCCCTGTAATCAGGTTGCAGTTCCAGTTCTAACACTACACACGATTAAAAGAAGAGAGGTGGGAACAGCGTACTGTACTCACTCACTCACTCCATACTGTAAATAGTAGGAAGGAACAACAATGGCCCCGGCAAAAATAGTACTGTAGAGAAAAAATAACATGACGCTATCTCATCGGTTCTCTGCAAGAAAGAAAGCACTCCCATTCGACAAGCACCAAAGACGATCGGCGCCGCCAGGCGGGGGCCGCCAGACGGCTTTGGGGTGCGATCGGCGATTTTTGCCCTGAAAGGGGGAAGAAGAACAAGGAGAGGGGGTGGATGATAGGCTGGCATTGATTGATTAACCTTACACTTGGATCAACTATTGTAGGTCTTCACTACGAGTATCGGTGCTTCTATGCAGGATGCACATCCTCCAGTATTAGTAGTCTACTCCGTACTGTCCATCACGAAGTAGAAATGCAACTCTGGTAGCACGCAAGATAAAAGTTTTCAATTTCCTGGTTTCATGCTTGGAAAAGCTACAATTCCAGGATGAGGTCAGGTTAAATTTAGACATGGGAGATTCCAGAGCGGAGGGAAAGTGGGAGGGAGGGACTGAATTGATTTACTTGCTCATAGTCAATGGATTTTGACAGGGGGTCGTCTGATCGGGAAGATCTAGGTGATAGCTGAGTGGAGGTAACTTACCTTCCAGGCTTATGGCTGCCAACTCTCTCCCATGACAACATCTCTTTCAGTCCTCTCTCTCTCTCTCCCCCAACCCCCCTCCCCCCCCCAACTTCCCACGTGCCCAAGCGAAAACTGTGATTATGATGCCTTAACATGAATCCCTGTACAGCCAGGACCACAAGCTCAGATCTAAAGCACGGTATGTCAGACAAACCGAAGTCGAAGACTGCTGGGATGGAATAAGTACTGTACAGTACCCAAATACTTCAGCTACCAACTGGCTAGCCCGCGGATGCCTGAACTGATGCTGTCCATCGACTGACTGACCGACTGCCTTGTCGCTCACTCCGTGCCGATTACCAAGCCAGGTAGGCAAAGTAACCAACTTTGTGGTGTGATGTGTGATGTGTGCTTTGTGATGTCTTT